CTAGTGCTCCATTATCTTCTAGCATCTATGTCACTGATGAAAAATCCATTTCCACCTTTATGTGATTTATGTATCTTTGTAGGAATATGCTTTTGTCTTTGGAAGTGTTTAGGATTTCTTGACATTTCAATAGGATGTGTCTAAGTCTGTCTGTCTGTTTGCCACTAATTGGTTCTGCTTGACACTTAGTGAACCTGATGATTTATGTCTTTCCTCCTCTGCCTTCCCCAGGAAATTTCTGGGACTCACAGAAGTTATGGTTCTGTATTTCTATATATATCTACTTTTCCTTCATACCTGAGAGGATTTGGGGAGAATTTCTTAGTTTTGTTTTCCATTTTTTTCTTTGCCTATTTTGCTGTTAAATACATCTTTTGAGCTTTATTTTGGAAATAGATTTTTTCCTTTTTCTTATTTTATAAAACTCTTTATTGAGGAACAATTTACATACAAGCAACTGCATCTATTTAAAGTGTATAATTCCATGCATTTTGACAGATATATAGACACACCCATGGAGCTCTCCCTTCACCTCCAACAATCAAGATTTGGGTTACTACCAAATGTCTATCAACTGATGAATGGATAAAGAAGATGTGCCCCCCCCCCAATGGAATACTACTGCACAGTGAAAAGGAATGGAACCTTGCCATTTGCAACAATGTGGATGGAACTGGAGGACATTTTGCTAAGTGAAATAAGTCAGTCAGAGAAAGACAAATATCATGTTTTCACTCATTCGTGGAAGTTCAGAAACTTAACAGAAGGCCATGGGGGAAGGGAAAGAAAAAAATACATGAATAGTTACAAACAGAGGGAGGCAAACCATAAGAGACTTTTAAATTTTTTTTTTCAACGTTTTTTATTTATTTTTGGGACAGAGAGAGACAGAGCATGAACGGGGGAGGGGCAGAGAGAGAGGGAGACACAGAATCGCAAACAGGCTCCAGGCTCCGAGCCATCAGCCCAGAGCCTGACGCGGGGCTGGAACTCACGGACCGCGAGATTGTGACCTGGCTGAAGTCGGACGCTTAACCGACTGCGCCACCATAAGAGACTTTTAAATACAGAGAACAAACTGAGGCTGGAAAGGTGTGGGGAGGCTGGGGGGTGGGGAAAATGGGTGATGGGCATTGAGGAGGACACTTGTTGGTATGAGCACTGGGTGTTGTATGTAAGTGATAAATCATGGGAATCTACTCCCGAAGCCAAGAACACACCGTATACACTGTATGTTAGCTAGCTAACTTGACAGTAAATTACATCTATATTTAAAAAAAAGTTTTGGGTTAATACAGAAAGTTTTATTCTGCTCCTATAGTCCTTCCCTCCACTTCCTCCCCCAGCCTACAATCTACTTCCTATCAAATGCAGAAATGATTGCTTTGCATTTCCTGGAGTTTCATATGCGTGGAATCATATAGCATGTAGCCTTTGTGTGAGGCTTCTTTTACTCAGCCTGTTTTTGAGACTGATCTCTGTCAAGTGTATACTAGTTTGTCCCCTTCCCTCTTTTTTTGGTTTCCAAAGCTTCACAACCCCCAACTAAGAAATTAACACTGATACAGTTCACAGACTTGACTTAGACCTAACCAGTTATACAAAAACTCTTTTGTGTATACGTATTTAGTTCTATATAATTTTATCATGTGTGGATTCGTGCAGTTACAACCACAGATGGCAATCATTTGTTAGTTTCTTCTCATTTTACCCCTGAGGATAATTATGATTCTTTTTAAGTCTCCTGTTTGTTTCTGAAACTCTTTCTAAGGATGTTTAGTTTCTCGTTTTTGTGGTGTAGATATCCCTTTTGGTGATTCTAATTTGTGAAGTGATCATCTCTATTTTGAGGATTGCTTTTCTGTCAGTGGATGCAGTATCTCTTTACCAGTTTCTGAAGGTGGATTGTAGGGATATATGTCCAGATACGTGTCTCCTCATTTCTTCTGGGATGATAGTAGCTACTTGGGTGGGTGCCATTCTGAGTCTTTGGCTGAAGTGCTTGTGTTTAATGAAGACTTTGCCTCTGGAGGGGTGGAGGTGTGGGGAGTGGTTCTCAGTAGAGGGAAGTGGTTGGTCTGTTCATTTGCACCAGATGCATTCCCCACCAGATCACCCATGACCACCAGAGCCTGTCCCTGTTTCTCCATGGCAGCCACTCCTATGTACAGCTTGATGGAGCACCCGTGTACTCTCCCAGCCTTCATAGCTGCTCCCAATTTTTATTTTATTTATTGATTTATTTTAGAGAGAAATTGAGAGCTTGAGTGGGGGAGAGGGGCAGAGGGAAAGAGAGAGAGAATCTCAAGCAGGCTCCCTCCTCAGTGCAGGCCCAAAGAGGGGCTTAATCCCTGGGATCATGAGTTGGATGCCCAGCTAACGAAGCCACCAAGGCACTGTTTATTTATTCCCAGTTTTTTTTTTTTTTTTTTTTTATAGTATTCTTCTTTTTAGGGTTCTGGACAGTTACTGCCCTTATCAACTTAGTTTTGCTGACCCTATCGTTTCTTGTTTCCCGGAATTATTTTGGAAAATAATACATCAATAAATCTGTATCTTTAGTCATTTCTGCGATCTAAGCTAGGAGGGCAAGGCAGTCTGTGCAGTCCATTTTGATCTGATCTCCTGAAGCTATTTTTTGGGAAGGATTTTTTGGGAACAGATATTAACTCTAAAATATGTTACCATAAAGTCCTTTGAAACCTTTTATTTTGGGGACATCAGGTTTTGAGAAATTGACCACTGGAGCTTACATGTTACATAAGGTTGGGAATTTCCTCTATTTCTAGTTTGCATACTAAACCAGAGCTCTGAAAAGTTTCAACATTTCTTCTTTGAGCCGAGAGGAAGGATGTAGATTTTCATTCTCAATCTTTTTTTTTTTTTTTTCAAAGTTGAGATTCATGGGTAGTCATTTTGTTGTTTTTTAATATTTCATTGTGTAGTTTGGGCTTATTTGTGCAAGAGGGCTGGGTTGACTCAATATTTTGATGTTTTTCTTCCTGATCTTTGTGACTTTTTTTGAAATAATACATTTTTAAAAATATGTTTTTTATTTTTATTTTTTAAAATTTACATCCAAGTTAGCATACAGTACAACAATGTTTTCAGGAGTAGATTCCTTAATGCCCCTTACTCATTTTGCCCACTCCCCCCATACCCTTTAGTAACCCTCTGTTCTCCATATTTAAGAGTCTCTTAATGTTTTGTCCCCTTCCCTGTTTTTATATTATTTTTGCTTCCCTTCCCTTATGTTCATCAGTTTTGTATCTTAAATTCTTTGTATGAGTGAAGTCATATGATACTTGTCTTTCTCTGACTGATTAATTTCACTTAGCATAATACCCTCTAGTTCCATCCACGTAGTTGCAAATGGCAGGATTTCATTCTTTTTGATTGCTGAGTAATACTCCATTGTGTGTGTGTGTGTGTGTGTGTGTGTGTATATATATACACACACACATAAAAGATAAAGATATGTATATATATACATATATATACACATTTATGTACGTAAAAGATAAGATGTGGTGTGTGTGTGTGTGTGTGTGTGTGTGTGTGTGTGTGTGTATACACATGTGCATTCATCCATCGATGGACATTTGGGCTCTTTCCATACTTTGGCTATTGTTGATAGTGCTGCTAAAACATGGGGGTGCATGTGCCCCTTTGAAACAGCACACCTGTATCCCTTGGATAAATGCCTAGTAGTGCAATTGCTGGGTCATAGGGTAGTTCTATTTTTAATTTTTTGAGGAACCTCCATACTGTTTTCCAGAGTGGCTGCACCAGTTTGCATTCCCACGAGCAGTGCAAAAGAGGTCCTCTTTCTCCGCATCCTCGCCAACATCTGTTGTTGCCTGAGTTGTTAATGTTAGCCATTCTGACAGGTGTAAGGTGGTATCTCATTGTGGTTTTGGTTTGTTATTTCCCTGATGATGAGTGATGTTGTGAGCATGTTTTCATGTGTCGGTTGGCCATCTGGATGTCTTCTTTGGAGAAGTGTCTATTCATGTCTTTTGCCCATTTCTTCACTGGATTATTTGTTTTTTGGGTGTTGAGTTTGTGTGATAAGTTCTTTATAGATTTTGGATATTAACCCTTTATCTGATATGTTGTTTGCAAATATCTTCTCCCATTCTGTTGGTTGCCTTTTAGTTTTGCTGATTGTTTCCTTCCCTGTGTAGAAGCTTTTTAAAAAAAAAAATTTTTTTTTTAATGCTTATTTTTATTTTCGAGCATTTTGAGAGAGCATGAGCAGGGGAGGGGCAGAGAGAGAGAGGGAGACACAGAATCAGAAGCAGGCTCCAGGCTCTGAGCTGTCAGCACAGAGCCCGACATGGGGCTCGAACTCGCAGACCATGAGATCATGACCTGAGCCGAAGTCGGATGCTCAACCGACTGAGCCACCCAGGCGCCCATTGTGCAGCTTTTTATTTTGATGAGGTCCCAATAGTGCATTTTTGCTTTTGTTTCCCTTGCCTCCGGAGACGTGTTGAGTAAGAAAGTTGCTGTGGCCAAGGTCAAAGAAATTTATGCCTGTTTTCTCCTCGAGGATTTTGATGGCTTCCTGTCTTACATTTAGGTCTTTCATCCATTTTGAGTTTATTTTTGTGTATGGTGTAAGAAAATGGTCCAGGCTCATTTTTCTGCATGTTGCTGTCCAGTTTTCCCAGCAGTATTTGCTGAAGAGACTGTCTTTATTCCGTTGGATACTCTTTCCTGCTTTGTCAGAGATTAGTTGGCCATATGTTTGTGGGTCCATTTTTGGGTTCTCTATTCTGTTCCACTGATCTGAGTGTCTGTTTTTGTGCCAGTGACTTTTTTTTTAAAGATATTTTCCAGATCAGACAGAATCCTGTTTCTTTTCCCAACGCCCTTTTTGTTTCTCTAGTCCTTGGAAACCTCAGGGTATGAATAAATTGCTAATCTAGTACGTATGTGTTTAGTTTTCAGAAAAAAAAAGTTGTTCTGACCTTTTTTTTTCCTTTCCCATTTAGTTTTTCCATGGTTTGGCTTGGATATTGGTGGAACCCTGGTTAAGCTGGTTTATTTTGAACCCAAAGACATCACTGCTGAAGAAGAAGAAGAAGAGGTGGAAAGTCTTAAAAGCATTCGGAAGTACCTGACCTCCAATGTGGCTTATGGGTCCACAGGTATTCGGGATGTGCACCTGGAGCTGAAGGACCTGACTCTGTGTGGACGCAAGGGCAATCTGCACTTTATACGCTTTCCCACTCATGACATGCCTGCTTTTATTCAGATGGGCAGAGATAAAAACTTCTCAAGTCTTCACACTGTCTTTTGTGCCACTGGAGGTGGAGCGTACAAATTTGAGCAGGATTTTCTCACAGTATGTATTTTTTTTAGCTTACATACAATTTATGGTAATCTGATCGTTAAAAATAATACCAGTAGCAAGTGGTGGAATCATTTCCATTTCTAATGGAACTTGAGTTTTCACCCGATTAAGATTAGAGAGATGTAAATTGAGTTGTAGTCTGGAGTTGCCATCTAGAGATTATAATAAAGCTGGATAAGCAGTCTGAGGAACTACCTACGAGGAACAGGTCATTAGGTCTGAAACTATGAGGGGCGTCTGGCTGGCTCATTTGGAAGAGTGTGTGACTCTTGATCTTGGGGTCATGAGTTTGAGCCCCATGTTGGGTATAGAAATTACTATTAAAAAAAATCTTGGGGCACCTGAGTGGCTCAGTTGGTTGAGCTTTTCACCATTGATTTAGGCTCAGATCACAATCCCAGCGTCGTGGGATCAAGTCCTGTGTCAGGCTCCGTGCTGAGTGTGGAGCCTGTTTGGGATTCTCGTTCTCTCTGTCTCTCTCCCCCTCCCCCTCTTGCCTTCTGCCCTTTTCCCCCAGTCACTCACACTCTCTTTTTCTAAAATAAAAAATGTTAAAAATCTTGAACAATGAGATTGGAAAAATAATTTTGGGGCACCTGGCTGGCTCAGTTGGTGTAATATGTGACTCTTGATTTCAGGGTCGTGAGTTCAAGCCCCACATTGGGCATGGAGCCTCCTTTAAAAAAAAAAAAAAAATTAAAAAAAAAATGTCATTTCATGTCATAAAATTTTTTCCAGGGGCACCTGGGTGACTCAGTTGTTAAGCATCTGATTTGGGCTAAGGTCATGATCTTACGGTTCATGAGTTCAAGTCCCACATTGGGTGAGCTCGAGTCTTACTTCTGGTGAGTTTGTGCCCTGCATCGAGTGAACATGAGCCCTGCTTTGGGTGAGCCCTGTTTCTCTCTCTTTCTCTCTGCCCCTTACTCACTTGTGCCCTCTCTCTCTCTCTCTCTCTCTCTCTCAAAAAAAAATTGTTTACAGTTTCATCTACCACATAATTTCTCTTGTCCCCCTCAATTGTTTCCTGGCAAGGTTACTATTAAAAAAACAAGGAATGCTGGTCCAAAGCAGTGGCCTCTTGGTCTCAGGGCTAGTCTGAAATGGTTAACAGCAGAGCCTTCTCTCCCCAAATGCCTTCTGATATGTACTCTTCTGCACTCTTGTTATATGTGTCTCTGAATCATGTCTGGATGCTGGGGGAGTGCCAGTGGGTGCCTGACTTTGTTTTCATTTAGTAACACTGTGTGCAAGGCCTTGAGGCTAGGTCCATTGAGGGTGGATGTGGTTGTGGGGTAGGTGGGAGAGTAGACAAGTGAATTGGCCAAAACTCTGACTTTCAGGGTCAGAATAGATTGAAAATATCTTCAGTGACTATGGTTTAAAAAAAAAAAAAATTTGTGTGTTTATTTACTTTTTGAGAGAGAGAAAGAGAGAGACAGGGGTGAGCAGGGGAGGGGCAGAGAGAGGGAGACACAAAATCCAAAGCAGGCTTTAGGTTCTGAGCTGTCAGCACAGAGCCTGATGAGGGGCTTGAACTCAGGGACTATGACATCATGACCTGAGCTGAAGTGAGACGCTTAACTGACTGAGCCACCCAGGCATCCCCAGTGATTGTGTTTTTAATGCCACTAATGAGAATGTTATTCTAGAGATTCTGCCTTTGCCTTTGTTGTTTTTCCTTTCTTTTTTTCTCTGTGTGTCATTGTGTGGTTTGTGACATCCTCTTTCTTTGTCTTCTTTCTCCTGACTTTCTCCTGTTACTGACCATAATCCTAATATAGAATTGACATGAATTTTTATCAAGTTTTAATATTCTTTGCCTGAATTTCTTTTGGTGGTTTGTTTTTAGTGGTTTCTCTTCCAGCAGTGAGGAAAGAGGAAGTTTAGTTGGAGTAGAGACGGTTCCCTTCCTTTGTGGAAGCCTCATAGTGGACTCTGGATCATAACTGATGGGTAAAGGAGAAAACCTTTTGCAGGACCCTGTATAGATGCCCTTTGGAACATATTTGAAAACCATTCAGGCTGTTTCCAGAGGTTCAGCATTGTATGGTAATTCAAGGGGACGGTGCAAAGTGAATTTTAGACCTTAGAAATTGGTTCTTAGGCTTTCAGGTTTCTCATTTGAATGCACCAGTGCTGTCCTTGAAAATTATAGGAAAATGAAATGCCTATCAAATGCTCTTTGTGCATTAAGAGTAACTAGTATTTAATAAACCACAGTGGAATATTTTTTTAAAATACTGAGTTTATTTTGTTGCCTTTTTTTTTTTTTTAAATTTGAGAGAGAGAGAATCTTAAGCAGGCTCCACGCTCAGTGTGGAGCCCATATGGGCCTCTATCTCACAACCAATCTCATGACTGAAATCATGACCTGAGCTGAAATCAAGAGTTGGACGCTTAACTGACTGAGCCACCTAGGCATCCCTACTTTTAATGTGCGTTGACTTTTAATGTGAATCAAATTTCTTAACATACTGGGTTTGCTTGTTGGTGTAACACATTATGTTATGAATACCTTGCATTAGTGAAATTAGCTATGCATTTATTCGTCTAACTATCACTTAGGGGCTGGGATTCATTAGGAATTAGCAGGACACTTCAGGATGACAGGAATTCTAGAAAGGAAAAGGAAAAAAAAACTGTAGAAAGAAAAAGGAGACCAACTGTTTGGGCTCCACTAGGCCACCAGTGTAAAATGATGAAATGAAAATACAGAAAAGGAGATACAGAAGAGGAAATTCAGATTCACATGCAGGAAGTTGGTTTTTAATTCATCTCAGTAGAGAGGGCATGAGCAGGTGCCATAGGGACAGTGATGAATACTTCAAGGGCTTAGGTTTGGTCAGAGGAGTAATTTAATATTCTTACTTAGGGATTAAGGATTAAGATGAAGTTACCTGTTAATTTCCCTCTTTGCTGTGGATCAGAATAAATTGAGTAGAAATGTAATCAAGTGAGAGTTGACTTAAACGGGGAGGACTTGCAGGGCTGGACGCACTTGTAAACAGAAGTAGGTGCTGTAAGGGGGTTAGGAGGCAGTTTTACCTTCGTCACATATGTGGAGTGTAAGTGCTTGTAAACATTCACGTGGGTTAGAAGTTCAGCAAGTAAAGTGGGGAATTTTTTTTAATGTTTATTTTTGAGAGAGAAAGATCAAGCAGGGGAGGGGCAGAGAGAGAGGGAGACACAGAATCAGAAGCAGGCTCCAGGCTCTGAGCTGTCAGCACAGAGCCTGACACAGAGCTCGAACTCATGAACCTGGAGATCATGGCCTGAGTGAAAGTCAGATACTTAACTGACTGAACCACGCAGGTGCCCCAAGTGGAGATGTTTCTTTATGCCATCTCTCCAGAGTCACCACTGTTAGAAGTTTATGTATCTTTTTAGTGTTCTCTGCATTGACTGTATGACACACACGGATGCATGTAAACTTGGCTTTACACATAGGCACGTTAGTTAGGGTCACGTATTATGAAGTGTTTCTCAACTTGCTTTTTTGACTGACAGCATGTCTTGGAGTTCTTCCCACCTCAGTTCTTAATGACTGAAGATCCTTTTTGTTCTTAATGGATCCTGTACATTGCTTTCTTTTAAAAAAATTTTTTTTTTCAACGTTTTTTATTTTTATTTTTGGGACAGAGAGAGACAGAGCATGAACGGGGGAGGGGCAGAGAGAGAGGGAGGCACAGAATCGGAAACAGGCTCCAGGCTCCGAGCCATCAGCCCAGAGCCTGATGCGGGGCTCGAACTCACAGACCGTGAGATCGTGACCTGGCTGAAGTCGGACGCTTAACCGACTGTGCCACCACCCAGGCGCCCCTGTACATTGGTTTCTAACATGAATAATAATCGTTCTGTTATTTAAGTGGATTACATTGGTAACACTTGTAAATTTTGATACTGCTAAAATCTTCTCATCCTCCAGGGACTATAGTTGGTTTATTTTTTATTTATTTAAAAATTAAAAAAAAGTTTATTTTTGAGAGAGAGACAGAGTGTGAGTGGGGAGGGGCAGAGAAAGGGAGAATCCAAAGCAGGCTCCAGGCTCTCAGCTGTCGGCCCAGAGCCTGATGAGGGGCTTGAACTCACAAACTGTGAGATCATGACCTGAGCTGAAGTCAGACACGTGTCCAACTGAGCCACCCAGGTGCCCTGTAATTGGTTTTAGATAGTGAAAAACCTTATTACCTTCTAATTATATACTTTGCAGCCCTTTGACGTCTGTTTATTAATAACAAAGTGAGGCCTAGTTTGATACTATTCTATAGCTTCGAAGATGGTTGTTCAGAGGGCAGATGTCTGAGTCCTTGTGGCTCCTGCCATGTGTCACCAGGTGTTTGAGTCACTTGAATTTCTTGGAGTTGGCTTTCTAATAGGGCGGTGATCTCACCTCTGCTCCTGACTCATGGTCCCTGTGAGTAGACATCTTGTTTTCTGATTGGGTTTTGGGCACATTTCTCTGGCTGCTGCAGTGGTTTGTAGGTGGAGTGTATTTGGGTGTGTCTAATCAGATCGTCCCTATGTTTTTTGTCTCCAGCTTTGTTCTGTAAATCATATGTACGAATAGTACACATCTGTGAGCACTTCTGTGGTTTGTTTAATGTAGAGGGGTGCCTTATTAAGCAGAGTTTTTATTTTTGGCTTGTTAGAAAGTCTGAATATATTTTTATTTCATTACAGATAGGTGACCTTCAGCTTTGCAAACTTGATGAACTAGATTGTTTAATAAAAGGAATTTTATACATTGACTCAGTTGGATTCAATGGACGGTCACAGTGCTATTACTTTGAAAACCCTGCTGATGCTGAGAAATGTCAGAAGTTACCATTTGATTTGAAAAATCCATACCCTCTGCTTCTGGTGAACATTGGCTCTGGGGTTAGCATTTTAGCAGTATATTCCAAAGATAATTACAAGCGGGTCACGGGTACCAGGTAGGTCTTTTATATAAAGGTCATTGCTCTTGATATCGTGATGAGCTAAAACTGAGTTTTCAGGTATTGCATATAAGTACACCTTTAAGAATGTGTTAAAATTATGTGAAAAGTAAAAAAAAAAAAAAAAAATATGTGAAAAGTGGTTTTTTTCTGGAATTATGCAAACAAATATCGTTTCTCTTTGAAAATTCTGATTTCTTGACTTTAATCTGTATTGTTCAATATTTCATTATCATAGTTCGGTAAAATATTTCATTGGCAGATTCGTTGAAGCCCACAGTCCCTGCCCTCAGATAGTATATGATGTGCATATACCATAAAGTTACCAAAGCTACTAGTTAGCATCTATAAGGAGAAGACAAGGCAAGATCCCAGCTTTGGAACTGGCCTGGATCTTATACATACATGTGAACATGCACACACTCACAGTCACACACCCACGGGATGGTCTGAGATCTAGAAGGTGAGGTACTGAGCAACAGAAACATGATTGGAGGAGGGTAAGCCGAAAGGGGTGGAGAAGTGAGTGGCAGGCAAGAGTGAATATGCTGTGGTTTAAGGATTAGAGATCGTTAGATGCAAAACAAGGAGCTGGGGTTTGGGATAAACAAGGTTTTTTAACAGGTGTCAATTACAGAATGAGAGGAGTAATTTGGGGGGAGAAAACCATTAATGGAGAAGTTCTTTGCGGGGTGGGGGACTGATGAGCCAGGATGACAGGGGGCTTAGAGAGACAAAGGGAGGAGGTGTTAGCGTGGCCTGGGTGTGTGGCGGGCAGATCTGTGCCCAAAGCTCCTGACACTCAGCAGATGCCCATACTGCACTGGGGGCGCAGGCAGGGAGGTGGGCCCAGTGTTTTGCCTCACTGTTTTTGGCTCATGTGAGTATGTACCTTCAAGATATGTATCAGGCGCCCTGAGTTTATCTTTCTGCAGTCTTGTCTGCCAGTGGCATCTGCAGGATTGGGTTAGGGCAAGAGTGGGTTGATGTCCGGATATAATTTCCAGTTCATGAATAATTACCTTCTCGTTCTTATTTTTAAAATGTTCTAATAGTGTGTTGTTTGTTTTTAATCAGTCTTGGAGGAGGAACTTTTTTTGGTCTCTGCTGTCTTCTCACCGGCTGCAGCACTTTTGAAGAGGCTCTGGAAATGGCATCTCGTGGAGATAGCACCAAAGTGGATAAACTAGTTCGAGACATTTATGGAGGGGACTATGAGAGGTTTGGACTGCCGGGCTGGGCTGTGGCATCCAGGTAAGGGGGCTTGTGTGTTCTGAGAAAGACAGGAATAAGATATTAAATATTGGATGTATCTTTTTCCTTTTAAACGGTTTTATCCAGCTATAATTTACATACTGTAATATCACCTGTTTAAAGTGTAAATTTTAGTGGTTTCAAGTATATTTACAGAATTTTGCAGTCATCACCATAGTCTAATTTCAGTACCTTTTCATCATCCCAGAAAGAAACCTTCTGTCCATTAGCTGTCACTTCCCCTTTCCTCTACCTCAGTCCTTGGTAAACACTCATATGTTTTCTGCCTGTAGATTTGCTTGTTCTGGACACTTCATATAAATGGTGTCCTATTATGAGATTTTTGTGACTGGCTTCTTTTCACTTAGCATGTTTTCAGGGTTCATCCATGTGGTAGCATGAATCAGTAGTTTGAATTTCCATGTGAATTAAAAACAATTTTAATGTTTTTATTTAGAGAAAGAGAGAGCATGAGCAGGGGAGGGGCAGAGAGAGAGAGAGAGAGAGAGAGGGAGACACAGAATCCGAAGCAGGCTCTAGGCTCTGAGTTGTCAGCACAGAGCCGGATGTGGGGTTTGAACTGGTGAACTGCAAGATCATGATGTGAGCTGAAGTTGGATGCTCAACCAACTAAGCCACCCAGGAGCCTCTCCATGTGAATTTTACCATCACCTTGTCAGTGGCTGCAAAAAAGGCATTTAGGATTTTGATAGGGATCCTGTTGAATTTGTAGGTCATGTTGGAGGGTATTGCCATCTTAACATTATCAAGTCTTCTGATCCAAGATAAAATGTCTTTCCGTTTATTTAGAATTTTGCTTTTTTTTTTTTCTTTTTAATGTTTATTTTATTTTGAGGGGAGGGGCAGAGAGAGGGGGAGAGAGAATCCCACTGTGAGTGCAGAGCCAGATGCAAGGCTTGATCTCACAAACTGTGAGATCATGACCTGAGCTGAAATCAAGAGTTAGATGCCTAACTGACTGAGCCACCCAGGCATCCCCTAGAGTTTTGCTTTCTTTCGCCAAAGTTATATTTCTAGTTTTCAGTGTACGGTTGTTACACTTCTTTTGTTAAATACATTTCGAAGCATTTTATTCTCTTTGATGCCATGGTAAATGGAATTCTGTAAAAATTTTATTTTCAGCTATTTAGAAACACTTGTTTTTTTGTATTGGGACACATTAAAAATTTTTTTAAATGTTTATTGTATTTTGAGAGAGAGTGTGAGTGGGGGAGGGGCAGAGAGAGAAGGAGACACAGGATCCGAAGCAGGCTCCAGGCTCTGAGCTGTCAGCATAGAGCCCAACGTGGGGCTTGAACTCACGAACCGCACTTAACCGACTGAGCCACTCAGGCGCCCACACGTGATTTTTTAAAATGATAGTAAAGGACCACATATATATGTGCTTATGTGCTAATTTCAGGGACTTTGTAAATGCTGCACGTTTTATGTTTGAGTTTGCAGCTTTTGTGCACTGTTAATCACTTCCTTTTCTGTTGGGTTTGTGTTTTGATCGGTTATTAATGTAGCAGTGCTGCTCTACAAGCACTTTGAAGTACTTGGCCTTCTAGGGAAATCTGACACTCTTCTGTAGTTGACTCTGGGACGCCACTTTGCTTTACTCTGATAAAGCAGTTTCCGAGCTGCGAACGTGACCATTCAACTGATCGGTATGGCTGCGCAGCTGGGACTGAATCGCCAATAGAGGTGTCTCCCTGGAGCTGTCCTCTGGCTGCGGAAGGCACAGTGGCGCCTTAGAGTGGATCTGATGAGGTCCTAACTGGACGTACAAAGATCTGTTATCAGTGCTAGATGTCACTGGGAGCTGTGGGGAAAGGCATTTACTTATTCAGAATGCTTGAGCGGTTTCTTCCAAGTTGCATTTCTCTTTGAACAGATGCTCTGTTATTTTGTAATAAATGGTTTGAAGATTTGAACAATGTCGCCCTAAAAGTCACATTTATCTTAGTAGAGTAACATTCAAGTTCCGTTGGGCTGTGTTGTCTTTTGGTTCAGTGGCCGCATGTTTTTTTTCTTCCTTCACAGCTTTGGAAACATGATAAGCAAGGAGAAGCGAGAGGCTGTCAGTAAAGAGGACCTCGCCAGAGCAACGTTGATCACCATCACCAACAACATTGGCTCAATAGCAAGAATGTGTGCCCTTAATGAAGTAAGGGGACCTGGATTTCTTTAGATGCTCTGAGGAGAATACAGAACTTACTAAGTGGGCCTCAGCCCTGTGTACAACGTCTGTCTTGTCCGCACAGTACCTGAGTATAGTTGTATGGGGTGGAGTTTCATTGGCCATGTTAAAGCTCTTCAAGTGTAGACTGCTCTTAACTGATGTTTTTTCCTCAGTGAAGATAAATATTGCCACTATGTAAAAGTAAAATCACGTCTTTTGAGGGGAAAGTAGGAAGGTAGGAAGGCAGTGAGAAGTCCGGGTGATGGGGGCAGTGGGGGGTGGGGTGGGGTGTGGGGCGGGGGGGTTGTAGGTGGGGTGGACAGCAGCCCCATCGAGCCTGGAGTCCCCGGGAAGGCATCCGGAGGAGTCGCCGAGGCCGGGAGAAGAGAGCGGGCAGCCGAGGAGCGCCCGCCCCGTGCGCCGCCGCGAGCTGTCTTTGTGCTTTCAGCTTCTTTACAGTGCTGCCTTGTAGCATTCGGGTCAAGCAGCATTGTACAGGGCTATGAAAGAACCGAGAGCGGCCTTCCCCGGGGTCCCGATGCTGCGGCTCCGCCACTTGTCCCTGCTCACGCGGTTTTGCTTACATTTACTCTGCTCAGTGGATCGGGTAGGCATGCGGCTTAAAAAAGAAACTTCGAAAGGCACAAAAGGGGATTGTCTCGTTTTTAATTAAAAAGCTACTGTATCAGCATCAAGTAATTAAAAACATTCTTCATTTGAATATGTTAGTTACTGTTTTCTTTATCGCTTGTTCCTTTTCCTGTGCTTTTATAAGATATATTAGTTGGTGTCGGTGTACGTGCCAATTGACATTTTTTACTCAAGTATTTAAAATTACACAGCTGTGTTCTTGGTTTGTTTCTGTGTCATAAGTCACTCCCGTAGAGCTGGGTGTGGGTTGCTCGCCAGCGATCGTTCTGCAGTAAGGCATTTTTATTTTTTTTTTTCTTTCAACTTTTTTTTTTTTTTTTTTTTACTTTTCTGTATAAAACTTTTACCAGAAGTTATTGTTTGTCATACTTAATACAAATGTTTTTCCTAATTTGTATTCTCTTGTGACATTTTCTGGCATGGCTTGAGGTGGGTCCAGAGTTGTCTGGGTTCAAATTTAAGTAGCCTTGGACCAACTAGATTAAATGTAAATACTTCTTAAATTTTTTGCTCAGCAGTCAAGTTGCTGCTAAAAACTATGCACGTGGTGCTCTGTTTGGGGTAGCTTTTACGAGAGAACAGAAATTAAGATGAAAACTAATTACCTTTTTTTAATGTGCTCAGAACATTAACCAGGTGGTATTTGTTGGAAATTTCTTGAGAATTAATACGATCGCCATGCGACTTTTGGCATATGCTTTGGATTATTGGTCCAAGGGGCAGTTGAAAGCACTTTTTTCGGAACACGAGGTAAGCGGACTTATTTCTCGCGATGTGTTACGAGTGTAAAGGGCATGCAGTTCCCACCGCTTGGAACTCGAAGTAGATGTGAAATGGACTGCACTGCAGTTCTTACTTAATTTTTTGTAGACGTATGATATAGGGTTTAACTTTGTAATGTTCAAAAGCAATTTCTTACCTGATTTAATGCAAGGGAAATTTTTGGTTAACTGAATGTCAGCAATTTTTTTTAAGATTAAAAAAAATTTATTTCTTTATTTTGAGAGAGAGAGCACGAGCACACACAAGTCGGGGAGGGACGGAGACGGAGACGGGGAGAGGGAATCCCAAACCGGCTCTGTGCTGATAGCACAGAGGGGCTCAGTCTCATGAACTGTGGGATCATGACCTGAGCTGAAATCAAGAGTAGGACACTTAACCAACTGAGCTACCCAGGCACCCCTGAACGTTAGCAATTCTAAAGAAAAAAAACCTTGATAAACATTCACCTGTATTTCTAGCGTTACTTTTTTCCAAACCATCCATTATGTTTTTCCCATTACATTTTGTAAATGCACTTACTCGGGGTTCTGCTTTTTTCATTTAGATGTTGGCTTTTGTGTTATTGATACAGTTCATGTGCCACTCATATAAGATGTGTGTTCTGAAAACAGACAGAGAAATACGTTCCAAGATTAGAACCACGTAAGAACTTCATACCTAGACAGGCTAGAAATGACAGAATGGAAGAAAATCATTGAATTGCTCCACCTGAAATTCTGTATGGGAAAGTGCCTTTCTATTTTTCCAGTTTGGGGAAAAAAATAGGACCATAGCTATGGAGGGGAACCTCTCTTCTGTCCCCTTGCTTGTGCGACATTTGAACTATTTATTTCCAGTGTTGCTGGATCTTAGTGCTATCACATTTTTCAGAATTGTTTGTGTATATTTACTTAACAGTATTTATAGGAATCGGCAGAATAAGATTTGAAGTGCTACAGGGATTGCCTTTTCCTTTAAAGTTGCTCTGAGTTTTTCCTGTTCAAGTGCCCTTATTAAGTTCATTGTTAAAATTCAAGGTGTACAGATTCCCCTTATCAAAGCTTAAAGGTTAGTCATCTAATTGTTTAACTTTATTTTATTAAAAAAAAAATTTAATTGAATAAATTTGACGTGTAACATTGTGTAAGGTTTACAGCTGGTCACTTTGATACATTTATGTGCTGGGAGGTGGTCGCTGGTGCGGCCACCTGGCCTGATGTGATGGTGCTGCATTATTACTGGCTTTGCTTGTCCTGCTGTGCATGAGATCTGTCTGGCTTATTTACTGCCCGTCAATTTGTACGCTTAAACATTTTTTGCTTTTAATGTTATTAATAAATCGGTACCAAATTATCTTTCAGTTTCTTACATCTTTTATATACATCTTGCTTTTTGTGATTTTTGACCTGTTCTATTTTGCTTTAATGTTAGAATAAAAAGAAACTCTCTTTAATGTTACATTGCAGTAGAACTTTGCTCCTGCTCCATTTCTACCTCTTGAAACTTTCCTAGGCGGAAGGTGGAGATTCATTTCTTAGGTTAACTTTTCTTTTTTTTAGTCTTCACACCGTAACAGTTATAATTTGAACACTTTGTGGAGTCTTGGTTTTACGTTTTGTCATTCTTACTGCCTGCTGACTTCATGTTCCTCTCTGGTTATGCTTGCTGGCCCTGCTGTCTCTTTTCCAGTTGCATCTAGGCTTCTGACTCCAGTGTTGATCGCCGCACTTGTGGAAATTTGATATGTTAGGCTCTGACATATGAAGGCTCTTCCCGTGTGAAGTCAGGAAGTGAAAGTTTTGTATAGATTCCTCTCTGCCCTCTGTCTGCCTTTGCTGTTCTCATCTTAGCATTTTGTAGCTTGTAACGACTTACACCTTCTGCTCGGTGGCGGGTCTTGGGTCTTCAGTGGAGCGCATTACATTGGTTAACTTCATCTCTTCTTTTGTTGCAAAATAAAAGATCCAGAAGGCCACGGGAAACACAGTGCGTAGCCAGCTACTAAAACGAGTGCCCGCCGGTGAGCCCACCTGAGCCCACCCTCCGCCAGCGGGTGCACTTGTGGGCGTCCTCTCAGGATGCTCATCGTGTGGCTGGCTGTTTTTAAAACCAAGAAACAGAGTGAGAGGAGAGGCTTCAGCTTCTCTCTTGTGTGGCCACGTTTCTTGGAGAAGCTTTCCTTGGAAAACGGAGTGGACTTCAGTTATTTATGATATTTAGAGACCGTTAGCACGTTCTTTGCAATCCGTCAGCATGTCTTTCAGGATCTTCCCGCTTTCCTTTTTCAGTCGTTTTTGTCTTTCTTAAAGGACTTTGCTAACTGCCCGGCTAGCTCAGTCAGTAGAGCATGAGACTCTTAAAGGACTTTGCTGTGGCATCTTATCCCTTGGAGACCTTGACGGATCCTGTATCCTGGTAGGACTGTTCTCTGAGGCCCGCAAGCACTGTCTTTTTACCAGTGTGGATTTTGTCTCATTTTTCTGTTACAGTCCTTTTCTTTTTCTTGTCTGTTTTTGGGTTTTCATGTCTTGGTTCTTGGTTGTATTTGACCTTGGCTACTTACTTCTGGAGATGGGCTTGCATTGTCCTCCTTCAGCTGCTGCTTCTCGCTCTCATGCCTCTGCTCTCTCTCCAGGCTCTTCTGTTGCTCTTTCACATGGTGCTTTTCTGTCTGTGTCCCCCCCCCCTTCGTGTCCCATTAGGGCACGCACGGTTGTCCACTCCTCTGCTGCCCGCCTCTGCCAGTGCTGCCCCGACCACTGCCTTGCTCCAAGTGCAGACATCCAGTTACTTGCTGGGTGCGGCTGCTTGGCTGCCTGGGGCACTCCGGCCTTGCACGTGCTGTATGGAAGCCGTTCTTGCTCGCCACATCTCTTGCTCCTGTACCCTCGTGGCTGTCACCAGATGTATGGGGGACACCTAAGCCTCCCTGCTGCCCTCTTCCCTTTCTTCAGGCAGGTCTTGAGTCCGTCCCAATCTCTTCTTGCTCTCCTTCCCATCCCCAGCCCAGTCAGGCCCTCCCCCTCCGTGACCTGCCCCTGCCGCCCCCACCCCCACCCCCCCAGCTCTTCCTGCCCCATCAATCTTCAGGTCCCATCTTCCCTTCATTCCTTAGTTGTCTGGAAATGCTCCGGGCCTCTGCTGCTTCTCACGTCCTCCTTCTGCAGGAGGCAGCCCAGGTACGGGCTCTTTCCAGAGGGAACTGAGCTGCCATGGGCTTCATAGCTCCTGCAGCCCTCACCGTGGGTTTTGGTCTCACATGCTGGCGTGCCCGGGTGTTTTATACATCCAGCCCTCCTCCTCAGCCTGGGAGCTCCTTGGAGCTCAGCAAAATAGGTGCTCAGTATCGGGAATTAAGGGCACTGTTGGCTTTAACACTAGTAATGATATTTATCGTAATTTAAATAAGTCTAAGGAAAATTGCTCTCATTTGTGGTGTACTTTTTTTTCAGGGTTATTTTGGAGCCGTTGGAGCACTCCTTGAGCTGTTGAAGATCCCCTGATCACCTGGGGAGGGTTCCTGGAACATTGCACAATGGGATCTGTGAACTTTTGTTTTTTAAGAGACTCAATTTTATGATGGTGTACTACCCAAATCAAAGCAAGGAAGGATGAGTGTATTTTTCTAAGTCATCAAGATAAATCCTTAAAAATTTAGTCGAAACTAGTAACCACTAAGGAAAGATACATATAAAAAGAAGTGGACATGTCCACGGCAGTGAGGATTTGCTGTAGTTAAGTTGCTTTTCAGTATAGCTTTGTTAAACCTGCCATGTGTTTTTGAAATTCCCCGTGTCACTTACTGGGAGCCACTTCAGGGGAGAGCTGTTCAGTGTTCAGCTGGCTGGTTTTGTGTCCTGTTGAACGTGCTAAATGTAAGGCAAGTACTATATGTTGTAATCTCATCACAATGTAGTCAGTATAGCCTTGGAGATCATTATCTGTGAATTAACTCTGGTGTTCATTTAGCCTCTGTGTGAACATATTGGAAAACATGTTTTATTTAAGGTTCTGCAAACTTAGAGTAATTCTGTACTTGTAATTTTGGCAATTGAGCAACTTTGGGGAAGGGCAGTTCCAGGTTACCCTACACTGCAGATCCTGGGAAGGTGTGTCTGGAAAGATGGGACTTAGTCCACCCTGGGAAGAATGCCCTTGGAGGGGCGTGGGGGGGTGGGAGGTAGGGAGTTAAGCGGAGTTAAGCTAGTAGAAAAAGTGCACCTGGAAGACTAAAACCAGACTTCTCGATTCGACATTTTCAGGGAATCGGGGAGAATCTGATTGTTTCTGGCTGGTAGAAAGTGAGGAATTGAAGTCCATTGATTAACTCCTAGGGGCAGGGTAGGGAACTTTTGCCTTCCTCTCCCACTCAAGGTTTTTACTTGCTGGAAGCTGGCAAGGCTGGCTCTGAGCTTGGGGTAGGACTGAGCATGAGGGCTGCATGTGCGAGGCTCAAAAGGCAGCTTGAGGAGTCTTGGTAAATAGAGATTTAAGATGGAGTCTCGGTAGAGATTGACTTAGAGCGTTTTCTTTCTGCTGTGCAGAATAATTTAAAAAACCCTTCCCCTTGGAGATAGAATATTGTTTTGAGTCTTATCTTGTGTATTTTTGTGCCTGCATTGCTGTTGAAGGCCATGAAAGGTCTGTATAAAGCAGCCTTTGAACTAGAAGGTAACCTCAAGGCTCTGCAGCCTCCTTGCGCCTGGCAGGGACCTAGGTTGGAAGAGTGCAGGGCTGGGTCACCAAGGGAGGAGGGTCGGTCGGATCCCTTGGCACCCTTTTGTGTTGGCCGCGTGGGGGCAGCAGAGGCATGTGCCAGCTCTGGGACCAAGGGCAGTTGGCAGTTGCTTGCAGGGCAGGGAGTGGCCATTTCTCAAGGGCGCCTCTCAATGCAGCTGGGCACCAGCGGGTTGTGGGTACTGTCAGCCTGGTGCAGGCCAGAACTGGAGGAAAGCTGTGGGAATGGGACTTGTGGCTCCCGGGAGCCAGTCAGCCTCTCTTCTGCTGCTGCTGGCCCTTGCGGGCCTCAGTCCGCGTCCCCTCTAATCTCGTCTGTGCTTGGTGGCCCCACCTTCCCTACAGCCATCAAAGACCATGTCCCTACCCACCTGCTGATACGCAGTTGTGCTCCTGGGAGCCCCTGTGCCCCAGACCCTCCTCCCCGCTTGCTCTTCTCCAGAGGAGGCGGGGGAGGGAGGGAGCCTGCTTCCCTGGTGGAGACCCAGGCGCCTGTGCTGGGGTTCCCTGCTCTCCCCACACGTACTGTGCTCATGAGGCTGTGACCAGTGCTTACATGGCTGGCCTCATACAACCTTTGTTCTCCCTGCAGTTTAATGGGAACAAACCTGCCTGAGGTCACACAGCTAGACCTGGGCAGAGCCCCCTCCTGCATAGCGTTCACCTTCCGTGTTCTGCATCCTTGCCACTTCCTGCTCTTGAAAGGCTGCCTCTGTGACTTCTCTGTACTTTGTGCCCAGCCCAGAGTGTCACTGCCTGGGAGGGTGCCTGATCAGTCACCAGTGGGTTGTTACTAAGTCTAACGGACATTTCACGTCCTCTTCTTCCGTTCTAACACAGCAGACCCCTCTTCCTTTCCTTCTGCCTCCCAGGCCACTTCTGCCCGTGCCAGCCACTTCTCCTCTGAGGACAGATCTTGCCAGCCCCCTGGGCGCAATTCTGGACTTCCCTAAGCAGTCATCAGCCCTGGACATTGATTTCCAAGGTAGCGGCCCCTCACAGCCCTTGCCTTTATAGCCCCCCGACAAGGACTGCCTTCCCCTCTTAGCACTGTGTGTCCCCAAGGCCATCTCTGCACGGGAGCTGCTCACATTCTCTTCCGAGCCTGATCCCAGTTTACTGCCACTTTGCTACCTCTGGCTTGTGAGATGCATGTAAACTCCCACCCCCTGGCACCACTGCCAGCCCCTGGTGTAAGCTACTGCCGTCTCAGCAGCGTCCCTTCCAGTCTGCCCTCCGTGAGTTGGCGAGGCCCCCCCCCCCACCCCGCCCTCCACTGGAGGCAGTATGTGCACGTGTGGGGTGGCCGTGGTTAGGACCCAGGTGGGAAAGGAAGGTGGCCTAAGCCAAGATTGGAGCAGTAGACGAAGGCTTAGAGGGCTGGGATGCGGTGACTGGATAGTGGGGAGGGAGTCCCAGTGAGGCACCCAGGCTTGTTGGGAAGGCTTGGTTTTGGATTGCCAGGTCTTGATCCCAAACGGCAGCTGAATATTTGGGTTGGAGATTACAGACCTGCAAATGATGTCTATCTAGGTGGGAATTTAGTGAATATGAAGGTAGAGGGAGAATAACTAGATGGAAAGAGAAGGAAAAGGCTGCAGAGCATGGTCTGAGAAGGGGCTGAGGGAGAGGAGCTCTTCAGGCACCTGCATTCAGAGGAGGTTTAAGAAGTGGTCCAGATTTGTTGCAGGGTCACAGATGGCCTTGAGGGGGCCAGTTTCCCCCAAGCTGCGGAGCCAAAGCTGACCTGCAGGGCTTCTCGTGAGTGGCGGTGAGGAGCAACAGCAGTCACCACAGGGGGACTTTGGAGTCTAGGTGTGTTTTTTCCCTCCTGACAGAATAGTTGGTATTTCCAAGCCTGAGATGCAGCTAGAGAGGTGGGGGGCGGGGTGGGCTAGTTCCACCACTTAAACCCCCCTGGGCACTAGCTCCCGCGTTTGTGAGATAGCTGGTGTGTCCCGTGGCATCTGCAGGGCTGAGGCCAGGGGGGCAGGTGGGGTCTCGGCCACCTCCTCCCTCGCTGTGGCCTGGTGCTCTGCTCCTCACCTCGGACCTGCTCCCCACCCCATGGGGGTGCAGGCCCGAAGCTCCTTCATCACAATCACATGTTGCTGGTGACCAGCTCATTTTGATCACAGCCACTTACCTTGACTTTCCATTGCTACACAGGCTCAAGAGGGGTGTAGGTGATCTCAGGCCCCTCTGAGTTGAAGGGTACATGCTCGGCACAAAGTATTTTCAAAACCTGCTTTTTATTTACATTTAAGTCAATTACATGCATGTTTTGTTTTTAAAACAGGAGTAATTAGCCAAAAATGCATTAAAATTTTAAAATAGCAATTAAATATACAAAAATATAGCTTACAAAAAACTGCGGATGTTTAAAAATATTCTGCTGCAGAATTCTTAGTGTACAAACACGTCTATGAAACCTGAGGCTCAGAGTTTCATAAACTTTTTTTTTTTTTTTTTTTTTTGAGGGAGTTATACAAGATCTAGTGAGTAAACCCCAGTGGGCTAAACTACAGGACTAAACTACCCCCCTCCATCCTGGCAATGATGTCAAGAAACCCAGAGACGACAGTTATGAGGAACACTCTTGGAAGACCAGGCTCTCTCCAGGAGGAGCTTCCCTAACACCGGCCCCACCTACCCACCTGCTGTAGCATGGCCTGGGAGGGACAGTGTGCAGCTGGCCCTAGATGCAGGCACAGGGAGCTGAGAGGAGCTTCACCAAGTACAGACCGGTCCCTTGAAATTGGCGGGGACCACATTCTAGGTCCATGTCCCTGGAGCAGGGAGGGTGTTCTCTCTGACCTGAGAGCCACAGAAGTGAGCACTGGATTGGTAAGCAAGGGTGCAATGCTCAGTCTGAAAGTGGAACCAAACTATTAGCATTTTGCAAAGTTGGGCTCTAAAGCTGAATCGGACAAAGACAAACTTACTGAACAAGCCCCTCTATTTTTCTTGTGATATTCCCACTCAAGTGGAAGCACAGTCCGTGGCATGGGGGATCTTTCATTAATATTATCTACTAAAGAACCACTTCCGGTTAACAACTGCAGATTTCACCAGAATTTAGACATTGTGAATTTAGACACATTCATCTCTTTTACTTAAGAAACTCGTAATAGCTGATGTGAAAGACATTCTAACCCAGGGCCAGATACTCAGGTGACAGAAGGGTGGCATTTCACATACAATTCCTTTCAAGTTTCAGGTTAGGGGCCTAAATTGCACTTTTAATCCAAGGAAAGCGCTGGGCTGCTGCTCTGGGAGGCAGGAAGCCAGGGAGGGGGGTGAGAAGCAATGTAGGAGTCCATGCCCCTCCCCCTAGGGCTGCCTGGAAGAAGCAGCTTTGTAAGACATTTTTTTCTTAAAAGATTTCTGTTGTCGAATGGAGAAAATTCTGCGGCAAGCATTTTCTTTTTAATGTGTGCATAAAGAGTGGGGAGGGAAAGGGAGCAGAGCCAGGACCTTGAAGACGGACACTGAAGTGTGTGTATCTATGGTTAGTCTTGAGGAGACTAGCCACCTACCTGCTTAGCGTCATCTGAGACATCTGTCCCCCAAACAGAAGGATGCCTCAGGCTTCAGTTGCCGCTTATCAGACTCCTGCCTCAGAAACACAAGAACTCGCCTAAGAAATGACAGTTGTAGCCAGACGTCACCCCATCGGATGGGGTTGGATGGGGACCAGGGGGGTGTAAAGGCTGTTGGACCTGGACGAGAGGCTTGCATTGCTGTTCTCAGCAACACAGCAGAGCCTGCTGTTGGGTGTCCTGTCACAGACCAGACTGTCCTTGTGCAGTCTGGAAACTGGTGGTGCTCTCATATTATCTGAGTGTGTGGTAAGGGTCAGGGAGGGATTGCTATTTCTGCTTTGTATGGAAAACTAGAATTTTAGTATGCTGCAATCAATAAAAAATGCCTTATTCAAAAGGGAATGTGATTGCAAAGACATCCTCCAATTATGGGCTCACCTTGTACAGATATTCAGACTTCTGAGATGGCTCTTCCCCCATGAATAGGAATGCTCCTTGGATATACTGGTCTGGTATCACATGAGTAAAAGAGAAGAGTTATATATACACGTGTGTAATCCCTGTTTATGTGCAAATGGTCACTGGAAGGCTCTACATGGAACATAGTGGAACACAGCGGGTGTTCAAGGGGCAATAAGTTGGGCTAGCTAGGTCAGGGATGCAAGGAAGACTCGTGATTTGCGAATTATATGAAGGGATTACCTATTCAAAAATTTATGGAATAGCTGCCAAGGAGCACCATGGGCAAAGACAGATGGAGGTGACTGGCAAGATCAGGAGAGGAAAAGGAAGGGACCCAGGTAAACGCAGGCCCTACCCCAAGGGACCTCCTGTATCTCAGGAGGCCCTTGCTGAGGTTTTGTTGCTACCTGAGCTACAGAGGAGCCCTATGTGACTGGCATGATCCTGCCTATAATTAGGAACCTCCACAACCCCAGGCCTACTGCCCACCAGGCTTTGGACATGTGTGGTCCTCATGAGAGCCAGCAAAAACGTCACTACAATTCTTAGAGGGCAGAGAAGGAAATCAGCTTCGGGAGGCTAACTTGCATAAAGACACATGGCTGGTGAATGGCAAGGGATGATTAAACTCACTCAGCACTTTTTCTGTCCAGAGCCTCTCTGTGTTCATTTCATAATTCTCAGAAAGCCTTTCAGAAAAACTACAGTTCAGAATAGCTTAGCAGAGCAAGACCAGGCCATAGAGGTGGCAGGCTTTGGAGTGGGGCTGTGGAAAGGTACAAATTGGTCCTCTAATGGGTCCAAGGGACTTGGCACTGGGGCAAAGGATCTTAATTTTGTCAAGATGTGTTAAGAACAGGCTATCTGGCAATGATGGAATGTTCCCTGTATTCCTCAGCTTAGACTTCCCCGTGGGCCATCTACTCGCATCTGGCCTTTTCTGTCTAGTCCAGCTCCCTGCCTTGGTGGGCACAGGCTACGAGGACCTCACCTGCCAGGGACAGGCCCAACCACATCACACTGTGGCAGAGAGAAGCGGCAGATGACAATGTCTTATGCCTACTTAATCAAGAATCAAGTCAGGCTGGTTTTGTTCCCTGTCTCTAAAGCCGCCTGAATTCAGCTGTACTCCTAGCAACTAGATAATGGTGCAGCCACCCATGGAGTTCAGTTGGGGCTGAGTTACATTCTTTTAGCCCACAGCATACAAGTAACATCCGACCTTTGAGCTGCTTAGACACAGCAAGACAAAGTAAAAAAAAACAACAAAAACCAACACCTGCCATGTCACCCCCCAGTGGCCCAAGAGCAGACCAAAGTCCCCACGTGTCTACAGATTAACAAAAGATTGCCCGACAACTTCCCAACAAAAGACAGATGTGGCCAGGGTGGGCTCAGTGTAAGGTGTGAGCCTGTGCCAAGAGTATTAGGGGATCCTTAACTCATTCTTTAAAAAGTTCAGATGAAGATTTAGCCTTGTCCACAGACAACTGTGTTTTAATCAGAATTGAAGGTGTAAATTAAGCCCTGGCCATTGGCAATAATGACAGTGCAGCACAGAGTCCTGGAGGAGGACCCAGGTGTGGGGAGCAGGTGCATTCAGGTTGTCTTGCGAAGAGTGGCAGGAACTACTACTCTGGGTGACACTGGCTGAGCTGCGGTGGGACACCGAGCCAAGAAAGGAGATGGCGAGCAGAGTGAATATTCACCACTCCATATCCAGCCCCACCCTGGTGAAAGGGTGGCATTTTAAAAGCCCTCCGCATTCACAGGTGTGGAGGTCACGTTAGCGGCACCTCGTGGGGGTTGGTGCCCAATGGAGAGTGCACAGCATTCTGGCGCTTTCCTCTAATGGCTGGAACTATGCACCAACCATATCAACTTGCCCTTCCTGTGACAGGGAAATGAACTACTCTACCCACACATACAGGGACAGAAAAAAGCTGCAACTGATGAGTTATAATCTTGCCAAAGCTGTGAGCTGAAATCATTTGCAGTTTTTAGAGCATGCGAATTCCTCCCTTCAGGGGAAAACTTCTCTTTCCTGTTGGAACCTCGTAACAAGGTGAGATCTGTCCCAAGCCATCCCATGGGGAATGGTGGGTGTTGGCCACAACTGAGGCTAGTCTAGAAGCAGACCTACTTTTGACACTGGTCACTGGAAACATTTCACTGTAAACTGGGTGCTTTGCAGTATTCAACTCCATTGTGCTACCAACACAACGCAGAAATGGTGAAAGTAGGAGCGCATGAAAATCTCTTTTCAAGGATGCCCAACAGGCTAAGGCTTTCATATAAAAATACCCCACACTTCCTTGCCCTGTTGAAGCAGCCAGTTGGCGTGACATGAATAGGTCACAAGGAGGAAACAGCCAATTCTGACCAACTGGATTTGTAATTTTCCAAACTGGATTTTGTCCAGCACTTTCCTAGGCTAATGGGAATTTTCCTCATCTGACCCCAGCCATCTGAGCCAAGGACAGGTTCTGTCTCCCATTCTAAGATGGTAGAGACGAATCCAGAAAAAAGTCCCTGGAGACATGCCATGAACAGAGTAGTAAAGCTTCCTCCATTCTCTCTCCATACCATGCAGACCACATTTCCAATGAGAAACTGTCCTCACTCACACCTGGGGAATGGAGCAGAGGCAAAGCTCTTGACGAGGAGTCCACCCTATAACAGAAGGAGGTGGAAAGCAGTGCCGTGGAAAAGAACTTTCTATCTGACCCAAAGCCACTTCAGATGGCAAATTTATACAGCATTCATGAATCCGAATGGACTCTTCAGTCATTTCTAGAAAAGTTGGACAGAAAGAGCCAAAGAGCAGCATGCATTTCTCTCCTATAAAGACACTTTAAATTACTTATCGCAAGTCTGAATACTGAGGCACACACCAATGGGTGAACAGCCCTACGGGAGCTTCCTGAAACTATTTACAATTTCAAGTGGATCCCTCGCTTCAGAATTACAGAAAGATCTCATTTGGGATGCTTCAAATTGTTAAAAAGCCAATGACAGGCATTTTCTCAAGTAGAAACACAGGGCAGGAGAGGGAAGGAAACGGAAGGAGTGGGGAGAGGCAAGGGAGTCAGCATCCTCTCGTCTCAGCAGGGCCGGGAAGACTGGCCATTCTCAGGAAGAAGCTCCCCTTGGGAGCCATCTGAGAGGCTCACAGCAGCTCCTTACTGAGGCAGTGGGCTAAGACCAGCAGCTGCACTGGAACCCCACTGTATGGGGGTGGGCAGCACCCTGAGTCTCCCTGGGTCACACACGGACAGCACATCCCCTGCTGGGGCTCCAGATGGGCGGCCTGGCTGGGCTTCACTGGGGAGCTTGGGGGGGCGGGCAAGAATAAGAGGAAATGACTTCTGACCAGCCTTTCCAAGCGCATCTAATGTGTTTAGATGATTTGATAAGCAAGTGTCATGAACTTGAGGGAGAAGGAGTGGCGAGGGGGCACTGCTGCTCTGTGGTAACCAAAGCCCCTGGGTTCCAAGATGACCTTATCAAAGGAACATAATGTGAAAAGCCTTGTTGGCACTGCCTCACCAATCGTGACCAGTCGGGCTTCAACTGAGGTAACCGCTGGTTTTACTAGGCTCAGGGACTGCCAGGAGGGTCTGCTGCCCCAAACCCATGCACGCCCTCCCTCCCCCCCCCCCCCCCCCCCGGGCCCGCCCCCCCCCCCCCCGGCCGGGCTTTAAACACCTGCCCTCAGTTCCCTTCTCTAACAATCCTATCTTCCCTTCTGCTTGATAAAGATTCACCTTGACATGGAGAAAAGTATCTGGGAGACAGAGTAATGGCGTCAGTAAGAGACCCTCATGAAATTTCTTGAATGTAACCGGAAGGCTTATCCATCATCCACTCCTCTTCTCTTGGCATGGGGTAGTGTCAGCGTGCTTTGGTTGTCACAAGACCCAGCAGTCTGGCTTCCCAGCGTAGCTGGCCCGAGTTCTTCATGAGGCAAAGGAAGTGGCAGCTGGTGCCCCAGGTAGAGCAGCCAACGCAGAGACCGCGTGTGTTCCTCCTGGCTCCATATGGATGTCGGATCCCACAGCAGTTTGGTCCTTGGGGGAGCTATACGATGTTCTCTGCCCCAGGCAGGGGCCCCTGCGGGGGTCCACGGTCCTGCTTACTGTGCAGCTGGGCCAGCTGCAGAACTGGCATGTTGCACAGTGGACATACTTTACGAACCTCGAGCCACTTAATAAGGCACCTGCAGGATGAGACAACAACACAGGAGGAAGATGTCAGTCCCAGGCTTATGGCGCCCCCTGCCAGATGCCTCATGGGTTAAACACATCTGCCCCTCTAGCCAGGGGCTGGTGTGAACACTCAGATCCCAAGCAGCTCCACCAGCAGGTGGAGAATGCCTTTTACCCTCTGGAGAAATCAAAGCCTCTAATCTTCTAAAAGGTGATACGAATCAGCCACAGCATGCTATACCCTCGAATCATCCATGACTTAAAGGATGAAGTACACTGAGGAGGGTGGTGGGAAGTAGGAGAAATACAAGTTTTTAATAGAAATGAAAACAAAAAATTGTGAGAGAAGAGGGAATATTAGTATGTTGGCATAGGAGATGGCTTCACACTCCCACTTACATTCATACTTTATTTATTTTGATTTAAAATAACTGGTTTTTAAGTTTTTAGGAATAGAAGCTCTCGTTGGAAAATTCCATTTAAAGCAGCTGTTTGTAGCCTCAGCTCTAAGGAGGTGTGGGCTTATTTGGCCCTCTGCCCAAAGTCCTGCCTGGCAGTCATGTTCCGCCACCCCGGTCCCTCCTGATGTCACATATGTACACACACACACGTGCACGCACGCACCTCACTCCATAGGGTGCCTTGAGCTTGCTGCATTGCAGACTAATGATGAAGCTGTCCGGCTTGTCTGGCACTGCTCTAAACCCACAAGTAAGTGGCTCAATGTGCCTCAAATTCAGGTCCCTTTAAATAATTCCACACCAGGGGCACCTGCGTGGCTCAGTCAGTTAAGCGTCCAACTTTGGCTCATGATCTCGCCACTGGGTGAGTTCGAGCCCCATGTCGGGCTCTGTGCTGACAGCTCAGAGCCTGGAGCCTGCTTCGGATTCTGTGTCTCCCTCTCTCTCCCTCTGCCCCTCCCCCCTTGCTCGCTTGCTCTCTCTCAAAAACCAAACATTAAAAAAAATAATTCCATACCAATACTCACTTTCTGTGAAAGGCATGCTTACATGGACAAATGCCCAACTCATCTCGAGGCTTGAAGTCTTCTAGACACACTGCACAGAGCTGAAAGACAATTGCACACATGAAGCAGAGTGCTAAATACTCTCCCAGGCCCCAAAGTAAAGTGCAGGCCCCCCGAAGCCAGCCATTTGAAGGGACTTACAAGGTCCCACAACTCCTTAAGTGAAAGAAGCAGGCTTGAATGGGCGAGGTCTTCTGAAGAGTCTCCTGCTCTTCCTGTCACACATCTTCAAGATGGAGGGCAGACAGGAGAAGACAGAAAGCAAGAAGCAGCTTCCTTTACTTCAGTAGTCAGAAGAGTCTGACTTGGCTTATTCTCAGTAGACAGGCTAAACATAAAGCGGTTGTCCTGGGTGGGTGAGGGGCTGGCTTCGCCAGGGAATGCTCTGCCCGCTCAGCAGCACGGCCCCTGAGGGGAGTGCTCATGCCCTGGGCCAGGCCCTGGAGCCCTCCTTTGGTTTTCACAATGTAGACACTATAAACTACATGGCACAGCCTGTGGTGACGTGCTTCTCACAGTCCCTGGGGTCCCTCACTTACGGGCTGCCTTGTCAACGTCTTTGTCATATATAAAGTTATTCAAGAGTCTCTAATAGTGAAACTTACGAAAATACACAGACGGGGCCAGGCTCACTCTCTGACAGGTGGCTAGGCTCCACTGCCTGGAAAGAGGCCTTCACTTCCAACCACTACTCCTTGGGCACACAGCAGCGTCCAGAGACATCAAGTATTGCATATACCCACTTCACAGGCAAGAAAACAGAGGCTTGGAGCCACCCTGGTGAGTGGCCGGACCCGGCTGAGGACCCAGGTCTGTTGCACTGATGTGCTGCTGTCCTACTTGTCTCCTGCCCAAAGGTTGAACTCCTCCCTGCTTGTTTCCCTGTCCATCTCCAGGGATCCTGATTCAACCGTCACCATTTCTTGTCCATCCAGCTGACACGGCCTCCCTGTTGCCTGTTTCTTAACCTATAATGTGTAGCCCAGTGTCTTCTTACGTTATGTGATAGGCCACGTGGCTCTTGGTGCCCTGTGGCCAGTGCTGTGAATCTCAGTTTTCCAACACCCTTCTCTGGGGAGCTCTCAGGAGCCTTGTACACAGCAGATAGGATCTTCACAGGAGGAGAATGGTAACTGTCTTATCAAGATTCAGCCTTACCATGGAGACAGCAGGAGAGCAGGGGAGGAGGAAGGACAGACTGCTGGCCTTGGCTCAGACACCCACTAGCTGTGGAACCTCTGTCATCATGTGGCCTCTCAATCTCTGTTCCTTCATCTGTAGAGTGGGGACACTACCTGCCCCCACTGTCATCAGTTCAGACTGGGGACAGGGCTGAGGAGGCAGTAAGGCAGTCTACCAATACCAGTTGTTTTTATTTATGTTTAAATTTCATGACGGGAACACTATTTTTAAGACCATTTTTGACGTCTGCAGGAAGGCTGAGAACGAGCTGTGTGGGTAAAGGTGAGAAACTAGCAGTTCCAGCCTTGGGGGTGATTTTTTGGGCTTCTGCTTAAAAGGAGAAATGATGTTCCCATCTGGTAGGCATTCTGGGAAGGCCCAGCTTTCCTCCCAGCACAGGGAGGGAAACAGGGTCAGGACTGCTGGCTCTGCCCTGTGGAGATTCAGCACTGATCCTACCAAAGAGCAAGAAGTTGGACAAGCCACTCAATTTTAATTTGCTTATTTTTCTAGGATCCAAAATTAGATGTGTAGCCTTTTTAAAATGGAGTTACAATTAATGGTTATAATGTGCTATTATGTTGTTAAACAAATTCTAAAACCATAGTCACCTGTAAGGAAAAAAAGGTTAAATTCTGACATGTTAAGTGCCAAAGGTGACCAAAAGCAAGGGCAGTCATGAAGAGAAAAGTCTCCGATCTGACTTTTCAGAAGTTCCATGAAGGGCCAAACGAATTTTACAACTTTACAGGTCCTATTTTGCACTCTACAGTATTTCAACAACAAACTGCTTCTCCACTGTAACTTCCCATACCTTTTTAAAAATGGAGGTATATTTCACATAATATTCATCCCTTTAAAGTATACAATTCAGCATTTTTTAGTATACTCACAGAGTTGTGCAACCATCACCACTATCTAATTCCAGAACATTTCATTCCATGCTCCCAAAGCCCACACCCATAAACAGTCACTCCCCATTCCCCCTTCTCGCAGTCCCTGGCAATCACTTACAACTTTCTGTCTTGATGGATTTGTCTATTCCGGTCATTTCCAGAATGGAATGGAATCATGAAATGGTATCATACAATAAGTGGTCTTTTTTGTCTGCCTTCTTTCATTTAGCAAAATGCCCTCAAGGTTTATTCATGTTGTATCATGAATCAATATTTACTTTTATGGCTAAATAGTAGTATGGATATACTATATTTGTTTATCCATTCAATTAGTTGATGGTTACTTGGATTGTTTCTACCTTTTAGCTATTATGAATAATGTTGCTCTACTCTAAACAAGTAACACGAATTTTCAATTCTCTGGGTATATATCTAGGAGTAATTGCTAGGTCATATGGTAATTCTGTATTTAACTTTTTGAGGAATTACTAAATTGTTTGTTTCCCAGGATGGCTACATCATTTCACATTCCCACCAGCAGTGTATGAGGGTTCCAATTTCTCCATATCATCAGGTAATTTTTATTGTCTTTTTGATTATAACCATCCTAGATGGTATGAAGCGGTAATCTCATTGTGGTTTTGATTTGCACTTTCCTAATGACTAATGATGTGCTTATCGGCCTGTTGTATATCTTCTTTGGAGAAATGTCTGTTCAAAATTCTTTGTCCACATTTTTGGTTGGGTTATTTTTCTTTTTACGGGTTGTAAGAGTTCTTTATATATTCTAGATACAATTCCTTATCAGATAGCCAACTGATTTTGACAAAGGTGCAAAAAAGCATTTCAATGGCAGGACAACCTTTTCAACAAATGGTGTCGGAGCAATTGGACATCCATAGCTGGCTATCACCAAAAGCATGATATCACCCCTAAAGCATAAGCAATTGAAGGAAAAAAATAAATAAAATGGACTTTATCAAATTAAAAAACTTTTGTTCTACAAAAGACCTTGTTAGGATAAAAAGGCTGATATAAAATATTTGCAGTTCTTTTTATTTTGTAGGCTTTTTATTGAATTGTAACAGTTATTTCTATGTTGTGGATACTACCTACTCTTATCAGATAGAAGATCTCCAAGTATTTTCTCCCTGTGGGTTATCTTTTTACTTTCTTGATAATAAGGGTTTTTAAATTTTGATGAAGTTCAATTTATCTTTTTCTTTCGGTTGCTTGTGCTTTAGGTGTCATATCTAAGAAACCATCGTTTAACCCAAAGCCACGGAAATTTCTATCTATGTTTATTTCTAAGAGTTTTGTAATTTTAGTTGTTACATCTGGGTCTTTGGTCCATTTTTAATTTTTATATATGGTGTGAAGCAGAGCCCTAACTTCATTGTTTTATACAATTTGGTTATCCCAGCACCATTTGTTGAATCAACTGTTCTTTTCTTATTGAATTGTCTTGAAGTGTCTTGATGCACTTGTTGAAAATCAATTGACCATAATTGTATACATTTGTCTTTTTTTCTTAAAATAACCTTTTTGGGGGTGCCTGGGTGGCTCAGTCAGTTAAGTGTCCGACTTCGGCTCAGGTCATGATCTCATGGTTCATGAGTTCGAGCCTCGTGTCAGGCTCTCTGCTGACAGCTCGGAGCCTGGAGCCTGCTTTGGATTCTGTGTCTCCCTCTCTCTCTGCCCCTCCCCTGCTCTTTCTCTGTCTCTCTCAAATAAATAAATAAATAAATAAATAAATAAATAAATAACTTTTTTTTTTTTTTTTTAAAGTTTGAGAGAAGGAAAGAGTGTGTGCATGCATGTAAGTTGGGGAGGGGAGAGAGGGAGGGAGAGAGAGAATCCCAAGCAGGCTCCATGCTGTCCAGCTCAGCCCCGATGTGGGGCTTGAACCCATAAACCGTGAAATCATGAGCTAAGCTAAAACAAAAAGTTGGATGCTTAACCAACTGAGCCACCTAGGTGCCCCATATAGGTTTGTTTCTGAACTCTCAATTCTATTCCAGTGATCTGCACATCTCTCCAACTGGTAGGATCACACTGTCTTCAAACTGAGGCTTCGTGTTAAGTTCTAAAATTGGGAGATGTGACTCCTCCAACTCTGTCCTTTTGCAAGATTGTTTTCAGCTATTCTGGGTCTCTTGCATTTTCATGTGCATTTTAGGATCTGCTTGTCAATTTTCACCAAAAAAAAAAAAAAAAAAAAAAAAGGCAGCTGTGATTTTGATCGGGATTGTGTCGATTCTGTAAATATTTGGGGGAATATTGCCATTTTATCAATAGTAGGTCTTCCAAACCACAAACATGGTAGGTTTTTCCACTTATATAGGTCTTCTTTAATATCCTTCAATGGTATTTTGTACTTTTCAGTGTACAAGTCTGAGCTTTTGTTAAATTAATTCCTACCTGCTCTTTTTGATGCTGGTGTAAATGGAATAGTTTTCTTAATTTCACTTTTGGATTATTCATTGCCAGTGCATAGAAATACAGCTGGTTTTTGTATGTTGATCTTATTTGTTGCACTCATTTATTAGCTCTCATGATTTTTGGTGGATTCTGTAGGGTTTTCTGTTTTTATAAATTCATGTCATCTGAAAATAATAGTTTTCCTTTTTCCTTTCCAATCTGGATGCCTTTTATTACTTTTTCTTGCCTGACTGTTCTGGCTAGACCCTGCAGCACAATGCAGTACAACTGCAGTACAATGCTGAATAAAAATGGCAAGAGCAGACATCCTTGTCTTGTTCTGATCTTAGGGGAAAAAGCTTTCAGTTTTTTACCATTAAGTATGATGTTAGCTCTGTGTTTTCCATAGATCAAGTTGAGGAAGTTCCCTTCTATTCCTAGTTTGATGAGTGTTTTTATCATGAAAGAATTTTCAATTTTGTTAAGGGCTTTCTCTGCATCTACTGAAGTGACCATGTTTTTTTTTTTTTTTTTTTCCCTCC